GGATATAACCTCACAGTCCTTGTATATTAATATGATAACTCCTTATATAATACCAGGCAAAGGTCAAGGCCAAAAGCTACAAAGAGTTCAAAATAAGGTGGCTGCCGCAAGAATGTTTCTGGGTCACTCAAATATTCCAAGATCTTGGAGTTTTAGCAGATAGTCATTATGCGTTGTGAAGTCACAGTGAGGCTATTATTTAAGAAATAAAAAACGAGTCTCGTGCGTTCATGGCATCATAATATAGAGACCTTACGATTTTAGGACGGCAACGCGACGACGACGGTCAAAACAAACACCGGCCTTCAAATAAATAGTATAGTAAAGATAATTCGTCTTATATTATCAATCGTGTGAATTTAATACAGCCTTAAAAGTTGAAGACGTGGTTTTATGGTTGGGAAGAGTTCTGCTAAACCCAGTTTGAAGTTGCACTTGTTGCGGCTCGAAATGCAGCCGTTGTATCAAGACGTGAAAATCTGTGTGATTTGGCATTGTAAACAGAGCGAGGACAATGTTTAAATTATTCATATATTATAATTATTCAATTCTTTTCAATGATTTATTGCATTGGTAGCCATTGCCGTCGTAAATCATAAGGTCTCTAATTGGCCACCGCCAAGCATAACAGTGATGGCAACATTTGTGTCAAACACGAAACATTACAGCTTCAAAACAACCTGCTTTAGGCCATATTGGCAAGTAAATAATTCAGTGATTTGTTCTAGTCTAATCTGTTCTAATAATAATCCCTAATTGTACTCGCCATCACATTACCTATACTAATAGGCATGTATTAGTATTTATATAATAACCTTAAGAATTCATGCGATTTCATTGGTCGAGAGCCATGATCTATTAGGAGGGTGGGAAAGGGGGGTATGGATCACGTTTTACAAGCCGTTTCACGATTCACGTGTCTTAAAAAAGCAATTTGACGGAAAACTAGATTCTAATGAAACAATAATAAAAATAATAATAGGTTTATTAAGAGTATGTTTACTAAATACCTTCGATAAACGGGCAAATACTAAATACCACTAAATACCACTAAACATCACTGAATACCTTCGATAAACAGGCAAAAATGACTCACAAAAGCTAGCAACTCGGCAAATCTCAATTCAGTCATTCAGATGCGACTTCCGAAAATTCAATCCGGTCTTCGAAAACAAATACTATTTCGGTCACTTAACCTTGTCAATGTGTTGTTTTCAAAGCTGCTTTCTTCACTTCGTGCAACATAGGTAATGTTTAAGTGCTTTTCAATTGCATAGTCGCTCAGAACAAAATAATTGCCTTTTTATCACAGGTTTTTATTCCTTTAAAGCAATGTTTTTGACTGTTTTCATAAATTTTCAGTTCTTCCTTATTTATTACCGTCTAGCGCATTCTAAGCTTAGCCAATCAAAATTCAGCACGTGAGTTAAGCGAGCCAATAGCATTTCGTTTTTTTGTATAGATCATGTACGCGTGATATTTGCAAAATTTCGACTTCCAAATGTTTGGGGGAATAAAAATAAACTGTTCAACTGTTTAATTCGGCAATTTTTTCAATTTTATTATAGGCGGCTCGTGGACTTTTTTGTTCTTACTGACGTCATACTGTGTATCTATAACTGAACAGACAACGGGAAAATGTAATCTATTTGTTAAGTATTAGTTTAATTAATAGGCACATGTTACAAATAACTTGTCACAAGTTATAAAAGTGCAGCAGCAGTGATATTACTCAAGATTAATTCTATTTTAAGTGAAATATAAAGACAGTGTTGTGTAACCAAGGTTCGCGGTAAGTTACAAATGGAATTTACCATTGCATATGGGATGTGGCTAATTAAATCACCACATCACATCGAAGCCATATATATTTAAAGGCTGCATGATATATGTAAATTATCAAAGACATGAAATGATTTATATGTCCATGATTTCTAGCTATCTTCCTACAGCTTGATGGCCTGATAAGGCAGAAAATTATCCTGCAAAAAACAGGATGAACAATTTCTTAGAACAAAATTTGTCACTCGTTACGTGGCACCCAATAAAGTGCGATAAAAATGACCCATTGTCAAAATGGCTGATTGATCAATTAAAATAGCTCATTAAATCCAATATAGTTAATTTTAGTATATCTTTAAAAATTAGCCATACTCTTATACCTTTCCGATGAATATTTCTCGGAGATTTGTTTTTTAGTTAAGAGTTAATAATTATCATGTTTCTACATGTTATGAATACAATAAAAATGTATACAGTTAAAACAAACGGTTGTCGTTTTTACCTGGCGGTTGCTACAATGCAAGTATTTGCCATTAAAGGGACGAGCTGCAAACATTCCAATCGCCGAGTTTCCTCTTACTCGTCTTGCTTGGATCAGATAGCCTCTGATATCATCGCCTGAACTTACGATGGAAACTCTGACAATTTGGCCTGGTGTATAAAACCGTCGGTCGACCCTAATTTGGTACGGGCTTGCTCCACCTTGAGGAGGAGACCCATGAAATGGTCTTATGCTTTCGCATTGCGAAACCGGTGCTCCAGAACTAAAACATAGACTTCTGTGGAACATGGTTGAGGTAAAGATAACGAAAACTACGACTTTTTTTAGCATTGTTGACTGAAGCTCTCTAGCTTGATTCAATGAAGTAAACGATTGGGAGAAAACGATGAACGTCAACGACAATAAACACAACAATTAACGAAGCACTATATAGAGGTTCGGATGTGACTTCCACTGCCGCTACCATCAACCAATCAGATGGGTTGAATGTACCCTTATTAACCAATCAACTACCACCATTAGCCAATTACATGCGTTGAATATACTCTGATTAACCAATCAGAAGCCTAGTGAGCCAGTGAGAGGAAGGGATAGCAGTAGTGGAAGCTAAGTCAAATATGAACCTCTCTAATTGATACCCTACTGCGTGCCGTCTTTTGCATAATACATGCATACTATCAGATACAAAACACCACGCGATAGCTGAGCGTGTTAGATCTGATAAAGTACAGACTACAAATAGCTTGAATAGCTGAAAAATTGACCCATCTTATAAATGATATTTTATCAGAAATAAAACCACTGACACACGGCAGAGATTTCATTTGTCTTTTCTTCATAGCTTGTTAAATTTTATGAGCTTTTGTAAGTAATGTATCAATTTGAATTTTATAAGTAATGTATCAATTCTGTTTGGCGATTAACATTACATATCCACTTGCTGTCAAAGTAGTCATTTCCTTCATGAGATGAAAACGTGGTCAAAATAGTCATTTCCTGAGCGAGATGAAAACGTGGCGCTTGGCGGAATCGCGTTTGAACAGCGGCACCGTCTTTATCTTCCTCCACTTTACAGTTTTTTTATTATTTTTTTAATTTAGCATATCTTTATTAATTTTTTTATTATTGCTTTTTCTATTTTTAAAAAAAATTTTGCTGTTTTTATACTAGTTAGGATAATCAGAGAATTAGAGCATAAACATGTATCTTTGTTTTTACATCGTGAAAATGTTAAACAATCGCAATCCATCAATTTATCAATACATTGTATTAGTGTTGTTATAACACATATATAGCCATATAGGTACCGTTAACTTGTCCAAAATAAGAGCACGAGCATGCAGTGATATTACTCAAGATCCAGTCTATTGTAAGTGATATCCTTCTATATAAAGACACTGTTCAGTAACTATAGGGATCGCTGCATGAGTAAGTTGCAAACGGAATTTACCATTGTCATGTGGAATGCGGAGATTTAAATCAACCACTTTAAATCAAATAGAGTAGATAGATAGATAGATAAACTTCATTTAAGCAAATTAGTCCCATTCAACACTAAGCTGATTTCCATGAGAGGTGTGCTGGCTAATTGTTACAATTTAAAAACTAATTTATTAATACATACAAACTATTATTATATAAATCTATTAAATATTCACTTAAATAAACTACTTAATTTAATAAGGCCGAGGGCGAGGAGAAAAGGTTTTTACAAAACGAGTCATAAGATATCGAATTTCGAATATTTTCTGGTATTCTATTCCATAATTTAGCCCCACTGTAACTGAAACTTTTTTTAAAAAATTCTGTACTGGGCCTTGGAATAAAAAGCCCAGTTGAAGAACCTCTTAAATTATAACTATTTACAGTGTTGGAAGATTGGAAAATGTTACACAGTCTTTGTGGAGCTAGTTGATTTACTGTTTTGTACATGAGTTTGGCCTTCATTAATGCTCTACGTTCTTCAAGGGATGTCCAACCAAGAGCAGTACGAGCTAAGATAGACTGTCCATGCTCATTTTTAAAATTCATAATTACTCTAGCCGCTCGATTTTGCAATTTTTGAAGACGTTCGCCGAGGCCTTTGCCAAGCTCATCCCAAACCTCACAACAGTAATCAAAATGCGGCTGGATCAATGCATTATACACCAGCACTAATGTATCTCGGTCTACAAATTCTTTAAGTTTTTTTAACGCACCAATCCCCGAAGATACTTTACTAGCGATATATTCAATATGTTTTTCCCAGTTTAGGTTCTCATCGATTTCAACTCCTAGCACTTTTGCGCTTTTTACTCTTTTGATTGGACATGTGTCGATCTTAACTGTGGGTTGGACATCCATGCTATTAATCTTAGAACGTGATCCAATCAAAATATATTCCGTTTTCGCAATATTTAAGCTAAGTTTGTTTGAAGACAACCACACTTTAATATTTTTCAAATCCTTATTCGCTATCTCTTCTGCTTCATTTAATGTTTTGCCCACAGCTGTAAGGCTGGTATCGTCTGCAAACATCCTTGGTGTTGTATGTTTGAGACAATTTGGCAAATCATTTATATAGATAATAAACAGAAGAGGGCCAAGTATACTTCCCTGAGGGATGCCGCACGTTATTCCTCTCTGATCTGAAAGCATTCCATTTAGCTGACATCTTTGTGTTCGATTTGTTAAGTAATTACTTAGTAAATCTAGGGCTTTATTACCAAAGCCATACCGTTCGAACTTGCGTAAAAGAATTTCATGGTTGACAGTATCGAATGCTTTCTTTAAATCGAGAAGAACAACTATGTTGTATAGGCCACGGTCCATGTTAATATACCATTCATTAGTACAATCTAAAAGTGTGGTAGTTGTGGAATGAAATTGTCTAAAACCAAACTGATGTTCTGAAAGAACATTCTGTTTCTTTAAATAATTATACATTTGGTCGTACAGAATCCTTTCCATCAGTTTGCTGACCACAGGTAAAATTGAAATTGGTCTATAATTGTCTAACATAGTCCGTTGGCCTTTTTTAAAAATTGGAGTTACTCGTGCTGCTTTCCACTCCATCGGGAATCTGTCAGTGGCAATAGACATATTAAAAATCCTTGTTAAAGGCTCTGCAATAGCAGGAGCTGCAGCCTTTAATACTTTAGCTGAAATTTCGTCGATACCTGTAGCTTTGGAGATAGTTAATTTGGTTATAAGTCTATAAACTGTTGCAACATTTACAGGTTGGAAAATAAATCTCTCAACTGGTTCATGTTGAGGAATGAAATCTCGAAAGCTACAGTTGTGTTCGTATTCAATTTTTTCAGCAAGTTTAGGACCAACATCGGTAAAATAATCATTAAAAACATTAACCAGTTCAGTAGTTGATGTAACTGTTTTCTCTGGTAGATTAATTTCGTTAACAATATTTTGCTTCTGACTTCTTCCCAGTATCTCATTAACTGTTTTCCACGCATATTTTGGGTTCGTTTTGTTATTGAGGAATTTTGTTGCATAGTATTCCCTTTTAGCATTTCGCAAGGCAATATTTGCAGCATTTCGAGATGACTTGTACAGCTTCCAATCATTTTCATTATTGGTTTTTATTGCTACGCGCTTAAAGTGGTCTCTCTGAAACAGCTTATTTTTAACACTTTTATTGAACCAGGGAACATTACCCTTTTTCCTTAATCTTTTTAATCTCTTCGGTGCGTGTTTGTCAAGCACTTGAAGAAATAAGGTTTTCCAGCATTCCCACATTTCATCCACGTTTTGTTTGCAGTCAAGCTCTACCCATGGAAGCATATACAAGTCACTAAGAAAGCTTTCAACATTGAATTTCCTAAAGTTTCTAAATTCAACCGAATTTTGAGAATTTCCTTTAATCATGGAATTTAGTTTACGTGTTGCATAGATTAAACTATGATCACTTATACCGAGATGCACCACGCCTGATTAAATAATTTTATCCGGAGAGGAAGTAATGCAAACATCAAGTAATGATTTTGTAGATTTAGTAACACGTGTAGGATCATCAATTATTTGTGTTAATTGGTACAGTTGCATTATTTCCTGGAGCATTTTAACATCGAGTAGATTACAATTTAGATCACCTAACATGTAAACTTCTTTGTTTTCATCATCCACTAATTCAATTAGCCTTTCAATTTTTGAGAAAGTCTCAACAGTTGTATTTGGAGGTCTATAAACACTCGAAAAAATGAAAGACTTACTATTGGCTTGTTTTATTTCCAAACAAACGGCTTCTAGATCGTTTGGAATTAAATCTGGACGGTTTTCATAGTTTACATGACACCTAACGTATATACACACTCCCCCTCCATTTCGTGTTCGATCAGAGCGCAGTATATCGTAACCCTCGATACTCATAAGGTCGTCCGAAATAGAGGAGTCAAGGCGAGTTTCATTTAGTGCCAAGACATCCAATTTTTTATCATGCAATAGCAGGCGAATTTCGTCAAGGTGTTTCGGAAGGCTAACTATATTGAGCATAGCCATTCTAAAACCTCTTAATTTAGGAATATCTGACCAATTTGTCTCATTATCTTTTCCCCTCGGCCTCTTATCATATCATTTTAATATATTTCCTATATTGGCTTGTAGTAGGGCAGTCCCTTCATGAGTTAGGTGTAAGCCCCTGCGATTTAAATGTAGGCTGTGTATATTACTATTATCTATAAACGACCAATTGTTTTCTTCACATTTCAGTTTCAAAGCAACACTGGTCTCTTTTACCTTACTTGCGAATTCGGGATTATCCTTTCTAATGATCAAGGATGAAATAATTATTCTTGTTTTCTTCGAAGTTGCATTTCAAATCTCATATGATTATATCACTTATATCCACAATTTCTAGCCTTTTTTCGACACTTTATGGGCCTGATAAGGCAAAAAATTGACTCTTTTCAATGAACCTCAATAATCACTACTAATGTTCGATTTTGCTGCTATTGTTTTCATTGGAAATAAACAAAGCTTTAAAGAAGTATATTTGCACTTTTTGGTGCTTATCAGAGGTCGCGGAAGTATTTCGAAAGTGGAGGGGAATTGGCCAAAAGGGGCACTTTTGGATTACGACCAAAATCAAACGATTTTATGACGTTCGCGAGCCGAACGAAAATTTTTGAAAATATCGAGTCTCTATATAATGTCGGAAATGGTCTTTACAGAGTCTTTATAGTACTGCAAAAAGGGCACTTTCTTTCCAGCAAAAGAGGGCTCAGGAAATACTTTTTTCGTTCTTTAGATGGGGCACTTTAACCCAGAAAAAAGGACACTTTTTTCACTTGCCACCATTTCCCCCTCCGGTTCTGCGGCCCCTGGTGCTCATACTGAGTAAATTTATAACCCATAATGATTCCTTTTTCAAGCACTGGATTGACACTGTCAGTATTACTTGCGAGTCACGTTAAAGTGATGCTGTTGCCTCCATTTGACCATGATTATTATTATATTAAAGGTGTAGCGACTATTCGACATTCAATAGGAAATTCCACAATATGCATGACGCAATCACAGTACCATACCAGCCACAGAGAAAACTACATCGCTAGGTTAAGTGCGCAAGAGAGGTTGGGCCAAGCCCTATAATATATTTAAGTTTATTTGCAAAAACCAAAAACTGAGTAGGCCTAATATTAGTTAGAGTGAGGAAGTATTAGTCATACATGCCATACCATCCGTGCCTAAAAATGCCGCATCATAAAATTCTTTCCAATACTAGCCTGTCCTGTTATTTCTCTTCTTTCTTGTTTATATATACTTGTAATATATTAATTTTTGTATATATTTTCAATTAAGCAGAAGGGTATAGCACGACTGGAAAATCATACATTGCGACATCACCCAGCATGCTGCCATAACTACAGTATAACCAAATTTAACCCATTGATTTTAATTAGTAAGAAGGCGTCTTGTCAATGGGCCACTTGCCTGATAGCGATGCCCGCTATGAGTCATCACTACGAGTCATCACTTTGAAAAGGTCCTTAGTTTTTGAACCAACCCTATGTTTGTTTGTTAATTCCTAGCGAAAAAGCACGTTAACAACGGAAATAATACGAAATGCTACCGTACAGTATCTGGAATAATACAGAAAGTCTTCTATTCAGTTGCCTTCAGTTAAAATTAATCACATTTTAACAAAGAGTGAAAATGAAATTTTTAGCAAAGCGGCCATTACAGTACAGATTCTAATTAAAATAAATATGTATTAGAAATTATTTTAAACATGTTTGTTTCGCTTTCACACCAAATACGCCGTTTTGTTAACGCAAACGAAAATTTACCTGTTTTTGTTGTTTACATTTAACGTTTTGAGTTATATACTTTTGATGGGCCATCAATGTTACAGGGCATGAAGGCCAGACGCTAATTTGAGATGGTACCAAAAATGGAAAATACAATATTTATATTAACCTTATAGACCGGTCTTCCAATTCCTACAAAAGCCCTGTGCAAGGACCTCATTAAATACAGAACTGCTATAAGGACCCCAGGATAATTTTAACCGACCTCTGGAATTCTCCATGCTGAGTTAGGTCAACAAAAATTGGGCCACCATTGCAACTTCTCATTGTGGTCGGGGGGAGAAAGGAAACTATTACACCACCTTACATCCCAGCTAGCACGGTCATGTTTTCAATAGACTTCGTTTTGTACGCTTTTATAAAACTTTACTTTACAATTATTCTAACTTCTATGCAGTATACTGTATAAGGCGACTTTCTGCATGGATAGCAGATTTCCCCCATTTTTTGTTTGACAAGGGCACGGTTCGATCTCAGTCTAATTCATCTCCTGCAACTGCATCTCGTCACCATCTTTTGTGTCCTGAAAATCAAAGCAAAAATAGTAGCTGGATTCTGCGTCGAATCTATAGGGAGAATGTGGGAGGGAAAACGTTCTCTAAATCAAACCTTCAGACTTTTAAGACAAGGGAAGTCTCTTTGCTAAAACAACATTATTATTGAACACATTTATATAAAAGATTTTGGCTTCTGTATCATATGGCTAAAATGTCCAATGGCCTAAGTATGCTGCGATGAAATGACGTGCTGATTACAAGATAATTGATTCGTCCAGACAGTTAAAATATCATCTTATAAATATCAGTGCCATATTTTACTCTTATCAAGATTTTATGGGCATCTCACTCGATTGAATATTAGTTGAATGGTATTGTAGATGGAAATATTCGAGTGGAAATTTATATACATCTATTAGATCTAACCAGGAACAGAAGCGATAAATACAACTTTAGGCTTTGGGAGGAATCGAACCTGCGTAATCGCAGGGCCGCAGATTCGATTCCTGCCAGGGACGTAAAGTTGCATTTTTCTCTTCTGTTCCGGGTTAGGTCTAACAAATGAGCATAGAAATTTCCACTCGATAATTTCCATATTTTATTCGCTTGTTTACTAGGAACTGATCAAGTTAGAAATCCACGTACATAATAATAATAAGTAATATAAGTAATATTTCGTATGTCGTAACATCGCGCAATACTCATTAGGAAATACCTCGCAATCTTTACAAGGATTTTCATCCTAGCTAAGTGCAGGTGGCATATTCATTGTACCAATGTTTTCAGTTCCAACAGAGAGATATTCGTTGGTCAAAATAATGAGAAATCATGGGTCAACATCAATTGCAAGGAGTCAGAACATAGGCAACCCAAGGTTATGGTTGCCTGCCTGCGCGCGGGCGAGGCATTGTATAGTTGCATTATTTCCTAAGGTTATAGGCAAATGCAATCAAACTAACGATACATATACCTTCAAACAATCCAAAATACTTCAAATATCTTTACATCTACGCTAAAATAATCACGGAAATAAAATCTACGATACTTTTACTATATACTAACAATATTTTAACGTACAAAACAAATTTGTAGTGCGAGAAAAATACGAAAAGTTTTTGCAATTTTTTTCAATTTCTGAATGGGACGATGCTGGACTCGCGCTCGACGTTTTTGATGGCGTTTCAAATGACGAATTTGCAATCTCATTGGCTGTCTTTTTGACGGTTTTAAAACGTCGAGCAAGCAGGCAACCATAACATTGGGCTGCCTATGGTCACAACGAGCAATAGTGTTGACACTATCCCAAAAGGCTATTCGCCACGGGCGATTTCAGCTACAGTTGGCCAGTGCAAGCAACCAGGCGTCACTGACATTCGCTGGAAGGAGATACTTAACTGGAACCGTTTGTACGAAAGGTGGATAAATTATCCAGTGGATAAGTCCTATCAAATGGATAAATCTCCTATCCAATGGATACAGCAAAGCAATAGCAAAGACCGTGAGTTTTGTTTTCTTGTTTCAGTACGCTGATTCAGTTTTATTTTATATAAGAATATTTGTTCCTTGACCTTGTACTTCATTCAAATCAGTTTTAAGAACATTTTCTTGCAAGATTTGATTGGCTGATCGAAGGAATTAACGGTAAGCGAACAACACGTTTTCGTCTTAATTGTTGTCTATTTATATCTATATTTGTTTGGCTTCGAAGGGAAGTCATTGTTTGTTTCCACAGCTATAATAGTGAAAGTTTTATAGCTTGTTTTCAAACTAGATAATGGAAGAAAAAAAGGAAAAAAGCCGGAATATCTAACGTCTAAGCCCTGACACTGGTCTGCGTAAAATATGGCAAAGCCATGGCATTATTTAGTAGGCCGAAATAGCGAGCTCAGCTCGATGTACGTCAAGAGCAAGAGAAGTAAGCTTCCATATTCATTTAGTGTCAAAAAAGGGACTTCTCAACGGTATACCGTATCTGTCCATTTCTATCACAATGCATGGCAATCCCTTTTATCTGAAATACACTTTATTTTGTCTTCAAACTTCGAGTTTATCCGCCGGATAGTGGATTTAAACTACCTCCGGACCTCGGATTAATTTATCCAATTTATCTCTGTGAGTAAAAGAAAGTTCACAACAAGAGAAAGAAGATTCATTGCGAGAAAAAGGAAACCTGATCGCCTCAAACGGCTTCTGAAACAAAGTAAAAATGCAAAACAGCCAAAATTTAATCGACACGGTGTGGACGTTTAAGCCAATAAAAAGGCATAGGCAAAGCCTGGTTCCAAGGGCTGAAAACGAAAAAAGAAACATCATCTAACTGCTCAACAGGGAAGCTTCAACGATAACAATTTGACAGAAAAATGTTTCAGAAACTAGTAAAAATTTCGTATCCATATACGAATGGTGATCGAAGTATGTCTGGCTATACTGATTAGGGAGGGTCTTAGCCTATAAAGAACATTGTATCCGACCAAATCGACCGAATGTCTGTTCAAAGTCCGGGAGAAATCCACAAAAAGTCCGCATAATCCAAAAACCCCGAAAAAGTCCAAAAATTCAACAAGCTTTCCTTGGTATAGGGATGCAACTACTGTATCTGAAAAATATATGAGGAGGATTTCGACGCTTCAAGCGAAGACCCTTCGTTTGGCGTTACTTGGCCAGTATAACTCCAGACGAAGGGCCTTCGCTCCAAACGTCTAAATTCTCCTTATATTTTTGAGGTGGTTGCATCCCAACCAACGAAAGCTTGTTTATATTATTGGCACTATCAACACTGGCACTAGTCTCCCTCACAGATGTTCTTATACAGTAGTTCTAACCCTCGCTAAAGTCGGTTTTCCACTTCGATCGTATCGTAACGTACCGTAGCATTTTCTTTTGTGTCGAAGTCATAAGTTCCACTCTAGTGCTCAGGAAACAAAGAAATACGGTACGCTTCGGTACGATATGGTTGAAGTGGAAAACTGGCTTAACGAACGTCTGCTGAAACGAGCTGCACATTCCGTTCCCTTTGTTTTAGGAGACAATCATCTGGCAGTGTTCAAAAGAGTTAGAGCCAATTGGAAGCCTTCTTATTGAGAGGTTAGCTACTGGGGAAAGCCCTTGAATGTGGCAACATAACTGTTTCGGTTGAAATTGGTTTACTTGCGTGGAGATATTTTGGAATTAACTATAGCCATGAACTTCACGATATGTTTACGTAGAATAATATTGTGATCATCTTCTCGCATGTTCTGCAAACAGCCGTTGTATATAAAATGCAAAAGCTATGCAACAGGCGAAATTTTAAATTCTGTTAACAATGACAAACAAGCAATCGGGAAACTCAAGAACGAGTAGATCAGGATATATCCAAATGTTGCTATGTTAAATACTTCCTATATGCCATGGCTACGACGAAACATTCTAAAAGATTAAGCTCTCGTTGTCATGTAGAAAAGTACAGCAAAGTTAGATGTATAAACGTTTCGAAGTTTTGCGAATTGGAAATTGATCTCGGCGCAATTAAAAGTTTCTCGGGGTTTTTATTTGTGTTGTATTTACATTCAGAAGTTAGAAGTGGTTGCTCAAACAGCAAATTAGTTTCCTCAAACTAATATTTCGCTTTCTAAGCCACAGTATTATATCAAAGTTCTGTTGTCTTATAAGGACATTGGCAACCAAAATTTTTATTGCTTATATCTATTAGGTATACTTACGTACGAATACTTAATTTTATATTTTGGCCGGTTTGTCGCGTTTAGTTGTTGAGAAAATGTAATAAAAAGTTCAACAGTTGTCCGCCATTTTAAAAATAAACATTTATGCCACAGCATACATTATCTGACGTCATTAGCTGGGTAAACACAATTTCATGACTATAAAACAATACCGAGCATTACCACGCGTAGTGCACTTTGAGCCAAAACCAAAGGCAGAAAGGTTTTACCAAGTATGTACCTTGTTTGTAACACTATTTCTCATAGTATATATCCAAATCCGTGTTGAATAAACGCAAAAATTCGAGTGGAACAAGGCAAACACTAATGCAATATTTTTTATCAAATACCTGTATTGTAAATTGCGACATTTCTTGCTTTCCCAGTCGCTCGATATGTTTTTATCTGTTAGTGTAGACTTCTCTTGTTTGATTGCGAAGAGGGTTTGCCAGTATAACGCTCAAAACGACATATTTCTAGCAAACATAACACGCACGCAATAGAATTCTCTCTTGTAGTTTTGGTGCTACCCATCTAATGACGTCACAAAGTTCATTGACCTTCGAGATAATTTTTTAAAAAAATTTTCCAAGATGACGGCGAAACACAAAGTTTGCATGCATTTTACTCGTAGACTAAAATGTTCGAGAAGGACATGATAATATTTTCATTGTTAGGTCGTCAAGTAGAATTGAAATAGCCAATAAAAATTTTCGTTGCCATTGTCCTTTAAAGATAAACATCTGTCAAAATTCAAATTTCTTCGA